ACATAAATTGAGTAGGCTCTCTACTATCTTGAAAGCTTTCATGATATTAAACTATTTGATATTCTCATCTATACTATACTAATAGTCGTATTTCATGAGAAAACTATCTTAAGAACGACTGAACACACCAACCCGTCATCTGATTCTTAATAGTATCTTGACACACTCTTTCTTTTTGTCTCTAGAAAGTTTTCTCCAAAAGCCTCGGAAGTATGATATCTAGAAAATCATATTTTTTTTTAGTGATAAGGTGGCGAAAACAAAAAGAGTTTTGTAAAATATTGCACGTTGGAAAAATCTTTTCAATATAATACTCAGATTCAGCATGGAAAGACGAACGTTTTTAAAAAAGAATGCAAGTCTCTATAACACAAAATCTGAACTTGTGAATTAGTTTTCAAATTTTGCAATCTTCATTTTTTTAAAATTTGAAATAGCTCAAAAGAGATCGGTGATATACAACTGGATCAAACGTCAATCAATAGAGAGTTTAAAACTGAACAAACGTAGAAGTTGAACAATATTCACGTACCATATGATTTTTTGATTTTCTAGAGATTCTTTAGAAAATCCTTTCTCTAATTCGCTTCTTCTTTTCTTTCTTTATTCCTGCAAGCCGAGATATGTTAATAAACTTTGTAGCAAAAATAAAGTATAATACGTTGTTAAAATATCGTTCTTTATTTCACCGAATAGCTTATTTGAAAAAAAATTATTATAGACGAATACACTTATATTAAATAAAATTTTATTTAGATTTCTGTTTTTGTCCTTTTGATTCTGATCGATCTTTCGACTTTAAAATCCGTTTCAATCCATGGATAATTAATATCAACACACTTCCACACACGAATACCATCTTTACCAAACCTGCATAACAAGCTAATGTCATAATAGAATCATTTCGTTTTGGATAAATTCTTAATACGTATATTTCGGCTATATTTTCGATATAATCTGAGATCATATAGATAAATGGACCAATCGCATAACGACATTTCTTTCCTAATGTCACAGCAGTCAAAGACAATGAAAGGAAAACTAAAAATGGTAAAATAACATCAGCATGAGTAGCCAAACGATATGCGTTACGTCCCTCATCACCCAAAACTGTTAAAGCTTGATATCCTTCATCTGGTGTATAATAATTCATCATATCAAGAATAATTGGTATTTTTTTCAACCCAGCAGACGTTGCATAGTCGTTTAATGGTTTTATGAACAGATATAGATTGAGAATTGTTAAAGACCATGATAACAAAATCACATAAATGTTCATTAGAGGTTTTAAAGCACTACAAAGTTGCTTCATCGAAATCAACCACTGTCTTTGTATTCACACGAACGACTAAAAAAACGTTTAGTGGCCAATTCAGGTAAGATAACAATTTGCACGTGGTTAAATACACGCACAAGTTTCTTTTGTTTTCTGTTTTTCGAAATACTGTTGTTTTTTACATGATTTGTAATCAAAAATGATAAAAAAAATATACTCTTCAAATAACAACCAACAACAAAAAAAAACCAGAATTCATTGAGTCATATCTTCATTATCTTCGGCTAATTCAACTTCAATTTCTCATTTACAATCAAGATAATGTACACTTAATGTTTTTAATTGCGTTACAACAACAAATAGTATTTCGTTGTCTTCAATAAATTGATTCCATTTCTATATATTTGCTAAATTAATCGTTGCTTTTTCATTATAAGTATTCATTGTTAACGTTAATAGCGCATTACCAGAATTATAAGTAAACAATCAATTGTAAATGATGTAAACGAATTTGTATAATAATATCCATTTTTTCTATCCATATAATATTGAATTTCTGTATGGTGGGATGTGGGTGTGGGTGTGGGGTGTGGGTGTGGGTATGGGTGTTGATGGGTGTGGGGTGTGAGTGTGGGTATGGGTGTTGGTGGGTGTGGGTGTAGGGTGTGGGTATGGGTGTGGGGTGTGGGTATGGGTATGGGTGTGCGTGTGCATGTGATTGTCTCTTCTCTTCAGTCACACACCCACACCCCATCATACAGAAATTAAATACTATATGGATAGAAAAAATGGATACTATTATACAAATTCGCTTAAATCATTTACAATTGATTGTTGGGTGTGGATGTGGGTGTGAGTGTGGGTGCGGGTGGGTGTGGGTGTGGGTGTTTACATACACAAGATACCAACACCCACACCTTCGCCGTTTTTGGGTGTGGATCTTCTCTTCAACAACATCCACATCCACGCATGTTCACACACCCACACTCACACCCATACCCACACTCACACCCACACCCATACCCACACCCACACCCACACCCATACCCATACTCACACCCACACCTCAGTCATATATTCCGCACAAATAGTTGCAAAAATTATTCACACAGAAAAATTTATACCAATCAAGTGTACTAAGTATATGTCTTGTGCAGAAGCGAAAGCATAAGTATATGTTTTTTTTTATTTTCTTCCAACATACCAACATAAATAATTGTATTCACTTCCTTTTTTCTAGTGTATATATGCCACAAAATACTGTCTAGCTTTATTTTTACAAAAGCTAGTTACCTTCAGATTACAGGCCTAAAATGTCATTCCTTTTAAGTATGTTGGTTGCGTTAACTATCTATGGTCAATCTATGTTGGGTGCGCCAAGTATTGTGAAAGATGTCCAGAATATTTCAAACACGACGAATTCAACAACAGGAAGAATTGGACTATTTGGAACATTCCTCATAGCGAGTGGCCTATCAACTTTTGTTAATTTAGCCAATTCTGGCAAGTTATTCATCTCAAATATCTTTTATTAAACGCTACATTTATACAATTGTATCGTTTTTAGGGAAGTTATCAGGTTGCTTGGCTGGCGACGGTTTGGTTTATGAAAGCAAATCTGGTCTTTATAAACGTATATATCAGTTGAAATCAGGAGATATTGTTCGGACAATGTATGGCGAGTCCGAAGTTATTATGATTTCTGACAACTCAAACGAAGAATATAGTCAGTTGTTTGATTTTGAGCTACTTGCATTTGAACTATTCTAGAGCTTACATCGGTGTCTGGCACATGTTCCAAAACTTATCTCATCCGAAAGAGTATCAAATGCTGAGTCAAACTATGTATTTCTTTATTTTGTAAGTCGATACCAATAGATCTGGGCAAAGTTCGAGAGAGGGCATTAGATTTTTCAAGTTCCAAGGTAAAGTTGTGCTACGGTTTTCCGCGCAAAGAATAATTGTGTTGCAGCAAAACGTTCAATATAGTAAAAACATTTTGTTGTGAGTGAAATGAGGAAAGAAAACCATCTCTACCTACCCTTAGACGCCCCTCCGATTGATTCCAAAACGCGTAAAAACGCCCAAACATGGTATGCTTCAACGCCCTTTTTTATCCTCAAGACAAAGTCACGTAGTAAAAACAGTTAATGGGTTGGGTTAAACGCGAGTCAGTCTACTTAGAACAGTGTCGCTGAAATTTTTGGTGCACCCTTGAAAGGCTATTGGAGCCATAGCCATGTTTGAAGAGATTCTTTAGGTTTTTGACGCTCGTGTTCATTTTGAAATACGATTTTCAGGCCTTTCATTCTACTTTTGAGAATTCGCAAGCTGATTTTCGGTATCAGCGGGCTTGACTTCATATGGATTGGCTCTCAATTTATCTGAGGATGAATGTAAAGGTAATATTTTCGATTCACCCTCAAAGTTCAAAGGTCGAAGGAGTACGAATACAGCAAGTAAAATAAATTCACTTGTGTTTTAAAATATGTACTTGCACTTTTCCTTATCTTTTCACAAGAACATTTGCGCCTGTATTTATACTTGTACTCATACCTAAGTACGAAAAAACTATTTTCGGACCTGTACTGAAGTGCGAAAAAGTACCTGATATTTTTACTTAAAATGTAAAAAAAAATAAATTTTATTGGTACGATTGGTTACCTCTGATAAGTTATGAGAGACAGTCGTTACATCATCTAATCAAAAAGTAGATAACAACAACGATATCTGTATGAAAATTTTTATTCGAATATACTGACGGAGTTACTCTACCTCACTTATAAAAATCATTCGCTTTCATTGTCAGAACTTCTTTGAAATTATTCTGAATACCTGTAAATGATGATGATCTTTTGACTAAATATAGTTCTCCATGACATTAAGAAGAATCCACGTGAAACCAGTTCAATAATTTATAAGGCATGACAAACTATTACTTTGCTGCGTTATTCGAATTATCTGTAGGATTTTTCAAATATTGAGTGCGAAGATGCGTCAAACGCAAAGAAACACTTTCATGTCCCAAGCTAAAGAACAAAGCAGGGTTTTTGTACTCAAGGATGAGTACGAAAGTACTTCGCTCACAGTACAAAAATAAGTACGAGTACTCTTCTCAAAGTACAAGTACTTTTATTTTTACGTTTACTTAAAAAAGTACGAAAAGAACAAGTATAAATACTTTTACCGACTGCTTTACTGCATTGGAAGTTTCCCGACAATACAAGTATTCCTTGCTCGAAAAGCCGTAGAGCAATTTTACCTTGGAACTTGAAAAGCCAAATCCCCCTCCACATCACTTTGTCCAAATCTGTTGGCATCGCGTTATAAAATAAAGAAATACATAGTCTGATTCAGCATTCAATACTTTTTCGGATGAGATAGATCTTGAACCATACGTCAGACAACGATGTATTAATTGGATTTTACCGACGGAAATAGCCTACTCTTGTTTTTTACTAGTTCATTAATATGCACATTTTCTATAGATTTGTTTACAACCATCGAGACGGAAACCGGACACACCATTAGTTTAACACCACATCATCTGATTCCCATTTTCGAAAATGGCATTCTAACCTTTGTTCACGCTGATCGAGTTGATTTGAATGATTTCGTTTACTTAAGTGATGGCCTAATCTCCTTAAAGATGAAAGTCAAAGCAATTAAACATGAAATCAAGGTCGGCTACTATTCACCGATTACTGCTGATGGTAGGACTATCTGATGTTTGAAAGTTTTCTACAATATCAGCACGGTGTCTCTCTCTTTTTTTCCAGGTACAATACTTGTCAATAACGCAAGTTTTTTCCATCAATAGTTCTAGAGTGCTATTTTCATCCATAACCATTGCCTTTTCTTTTAGATTGTTGCATCAGTCTATGCACGTATCAATAATCATCACATAGCTCATTTTAGTAATGCCCCAATGAGATGGTATTATCGGATTATGAAATATTTCGACATTGATGAACCATTTCATACAAGCGCAAATGGGCAGAAGCACTGGATGCATACTCTGTTAATTCAGCTAGGAAAAGCATTTACACCACAGCTCTTTATTTAATCACAAACAGTAGAAAAAAGTTCAGTTTTTTCAACTTATGACCGTTTTCTTAACTGTATTATTCACTTCTAACTAGTTTCAACATGTAATAAAGGTTGATAACTACAATCATAAAAATACTAGATCATACGCGTTGAACAGGAAAACCAAAGTGTGAGGTTTTCAGACAATACATTTTTGCTATGTAGAAATTTTGTATCGGCTTAATAAAAAACACTAACGATATATATATATATGTATAATTTTTAAAGAGATGAAGAGAACTAGGGTGCGCGTGTGGGTGTGACTTAAAAGAAAACAATACCCACAACCACCCACACCAACACCCTCTCCCACACCCTCACCCACACCCTAATGCTCTTCCCACTGGAAATGAATTGATAACCATTAGAGCACCAAAAATACCTTGATTAATACCGCAAAAGAAAATTACCGGATTTCAACGAAGAATACTTCATTGTCCATGACCAATTTGAAAAAAAAACACAACCAATTAAAACGGCAGTAATGATTGTTTGAATGATCGATGTGAGAATAATTTTTGATGAACGAATTTTTTCTTGAAAATTCCGTCGAAGAAGAATAAAGTCTTTTTTTAATCAGATGAGTAACTCGTCAATTATTGATGAGTAAGTAAAACGCATAGAACTTTGTTCGAAGAGTTGATCGTCTTCTACTACCTCCATTTATAGGTAGAAGCACGATTTTATTCGGTATGAGCCGGTTATACTCCTTGTATCAAGTGCCTATTATGCAAATCTCTTGCGCATGTATTAGCTGCGTAAATCAATGTTAAAATCATTTCTCAAAGAACAACGAATCGCACTAGCTTACAGGTTACCACTCCTCATATCCATTTTCTTCGTTTCTTTCTTTTTATTTCTTATCGATCAATTGATCAAGGCTTTTATTTAAGAAAAGAAAATTTGCTAAAGTCCTATTTATAACCAGCAATAGATCCAGATTAATCCGGTTCGGATCCTAGTTAAGAGCTGTTTCAAAGAACGCGCAAAATCGAACTGGATGAAAATTTGAATGGTGCGATGATTCAGTTCTGCCGATCGACAAGGTTAAGCAAATAAATAGATTTTTATTCTCAATACTATTTATTTCGTAACAGTCCAAATGCAAGAAATAACGAGATATAACAACATTTGAAAAGTCAACATTCGTAGAACGGCTTTGAAAAACATCATTAGGCACAAACTTTTAGCCACGATTCTCAGTGATTATTATTTGATACAGTTGAAACTAACGAGCAGTCATAAATTATAAGCTTGTGTATTCTGTAGATATCTCACTCATATTTCATGGCAAAATAAAGAGATTTCAGAATAAGATTCGTTGATAATTTTTTGACAGATCCATAGAAAAACACCGAACGCTTGTCTTTCTAGCCATCCATCGTTGCTGAAGTTTAATTGGCAAATAAGTACTGGATGTGGATGTGAGGTGCATGTTGGTGTGGGTGCGAGTGTGTAGGTGTGGGTGTGAGTGTGGATGTGAGTGTGCGTGTTGGTGTTGGTGTGGGGGTGGGGGTGTATATGTGGGTGGGTGGGTGGGTGTGGATCTGGGTCTGGGTGTCGGTGTGGGTGTGAGTGCTCTGTAAAAAAAAAGTGTCAAACTGAACCTTTCTCGGCACCATATTACGAACCTTTTTTTAAGTTCTAGCCAAAAATCTAGAACTTAAAATGGTTTTAGACAGAAATGTTGAACTAAAAGAGGTTTTAGACTGTTTTCCTAGAACCTAAAATAAGGTTCAGAAAACGGTACCCAAATCTAGAACCATAAAAAGTTTTAGACCGTCGCTAAAACCTTTTATGGTTCCTTATGACAGCTTTTTTTAGAGAATGTGGATGTCGGGGAAAGGATGAGTATAATGTTACACTCAAACACGCCTATACATGCATTCACACCCACACCCGCATCCACGCCCACACCCACACTCACACTCACACCCACACCCACACCCACCCACCCACACCCACACCCACACCCACACCCACACCCACACCCACCCACACCCACACCCACACCCACGCCCACACCCACCCATTACAGCGAGGTATTAACAGAATACAGAGACACACTGCTTGAACTCTTGACTCCGATACGTTTGAAAAGCAATAAGAATGTAGACTAATTTATACACAGGAGTTTTTTCTGTATACTGAATGCTCAGCTTCACTGATACTTTTTGTTCTTTGCCAAATCAATCAAAGAATTCAATATTTGGAATGTGTTAAATTCTGAAGTACTTTAAAAGTCTTAGTATCATGTTTCTTTCTGTTCTGATTCATCTAACGGGTGGCGCAGATTAAATGGACCTCTCAGTATTTTGATTTTTTTTCATCTATAATTCGACATAGAAAAAAAAATTTTTTTATAGAAAGATTCCTTGTCAAATTCTCTACAAAACGTAGATATTTTTATTATCTTAAATAGTCTCCATTATTTTGAGACATGCGATACAATCGATTGGTCCAAGAATTACAACTTTCAAAGACAACATTTTTTCGAATTTTTTTTACAGCACGTTTTAATTCTTGGATTAGTGTTGCTTTGGATGTCGCTCTATTCCAATCAATAACCTTTTGAAATTCATCCCATATACAGTAATCCAATGGATTTAGATCAGGACTATTGGGTGGCCAATGATCTTTATCGATAAATCCTGGAAAATTGTCATGGCACCATTGTTGTGTTAAATGATGAATATGGGGTTTAGCACCGTCTTGTTGAAATGTCCAGTCATTTCCGAAGACGTGATTTCCATATTTAAGAGCCACAGGAAGCACCGCTTTGATGTATCGTTCATGATCGAGTGTACCTTGCTCGAAGACCACCAATGGAGATACACCTTTTGAACATACACCAAGCCATACCATGACTTTCTGAGGAAATTTTTTCTTCTGATGAACACCACCTTGTTTACCAGCTTCATCACGACTTGCAGCCCAAATGCGGTCATTTTGAGTATTGTAAATCCCATCAATGTCGAACATCTTTTCATCAGAAAACAGAATTTTCAATGTTTCCTGCTTTCGAAAATTTGTTCGTATCCAATTAGCAAATTTTTTTCTTTTTTCTTTATGCTCCTCGGTAAGTGCTGGTTCAATCAAACGTTTATATGGTTGGCAGCCAAGATCATCCTGAAGAATGCGTTGAGCACTTCTTCGGGACATACCAAGGGCGAATGCAAGTTTTCGAGTTGAGACTTTACCTTTTTGCAGCTTCTTCTTGACCTTCTTTATAGCTCCTGCAGTTCGAACTGTACGTGGAGGACCTGGTGGTGTTGTCAGATTGATAAAACCAGCTTCATCAATCATTTTACACCATCTTTTAATAGTTGTTAAACCAAGTACACCATTCAAATCATGGAAAATTTTCGTAGGATAATCACCATTTCGATGTTTCAAGGTCACCAATTTCTGTAAATCTTCACTTTTCATTATCAAAGAGAAAACTTGAATGTTTCCAGAAAAAGTAAAGAAAATAAAAAATGGGGGATTGAAACAATTTTCCAAGATTTATCGATAAAGATCATTGGTCACCCAATAGTCCTGATCTAAATCCATTGGATTACTGTATATGGGATGAATTTCAAAAGGTTATTGATTGGAATAGAGCGACATCCAAAACAACACTAATCCAAGAATTAAAACGTGCTGTAAAAAAAATTCGAAAAAATGTTGTCTTTGAAAGTTGTAATTCTTGGACCAATCGATTGTATCGCATGTCTCAAAATAATGGAGACTATTTAAGATAATAAAAATATCTACGTTTTGTAGAGAATTTGACAAGGAATCTTTCTATAAAAAAATTTTTTTTTCTATGTCGAATTATAGATGAAAAAAAATCAAAATACTGAGAGGTCCATTTAATCTGCGCCACCCGTTATATTGCCATCTTTTCTGTTCCTCCATCATTCTTTCATGTCTACGTTCTTACACAATGCTTTCCCTTGGAGTCTGTATACTTGTTCATTTTTCTTTGAAGAATCTAAAATAGAGTGTGAGCGTCTGCTTTTTGTTTCTTTTACGATACATGCGCTAGTGAAGGAAGAATTGTTAGCTCGTACATGCCATCAGAGATTACAGTCCTCCCTTCGAAGTTAGCAGAAAATTATTTTATTTGATTCGCGAGAATAAACGGAATTGAAAGAAAAATACACAGGAAAAAAATCGAAAAGCAGTTTTAGTTATTGCTCAGTACTGATTGACCTGATTTTCCTCATGTTCAATCTTTGTTGGTAGGCCAGGCTCCCCAAAGTGCACCAAAAGCAGTTCCATAAGCGGCTCCTGCAATTCCTCCGAATGCAGCACCAAGAGGTCCGCCAACAACTGCGTCAATGCCAGCACCCGTCGTTGCACCAGTGTAAGTTCCAGTTATCAATTTCAAAGCAAATGAATCTAGAGAAAAGAAAACGAAGAAAATGTTGAGAAAAATAAACTAAGAATACTGTCAAACTGTAAGAGCTATCCAAAAAACTTTTTTCTTCTATAAAAAGCGCCATACGAGTGGCTCATTTCGACTTTTTTTCGGAAAAGAAGGGAAGCAGTTCTGGCTTGTTCTCTCCATTTGCTTAGTAGAAAGTAAGAAACATATAAATACCTTCTTTTTCTTTATCCATTCTTCCACTTGGCTCTTGCAAACGATGTTTGTCAATCAGCAATTCTGTTTGTATTAAATTTTCAACGTAGTACTTACACCAAAGTTTGCTTTGTTTTTTTTTTGAAAGACGAAGAATGAAATCGTCTTCATACTGTCGGATATATATATACTATACAATCCAGAAGCGATTTTTTTCTTCTAACCATTACTCATGTTATGTATAAGTTGGGAAATTTTCCAATGAAGGAGTCATGATTCACTCACATTCTTTTAGAAAGCATAACAAAATACGTATCAGAAAAAAGATATTATTCTTTTATTTGTTAGGTTCCATTCTGCGTGTTCTTTTTCTTTTCGAGAAAAACAAAGAATGCTGCCATACGTTGCAGGACGATTCGTTACTTTCTTCATGATTGTTATGGCATATAGGTAAGATATGCTGTAAGAGCTATTTGTTCTCTTTCATTCTTCACATATATACGTTGTTATGTACAGTTATCTCTTTCTTTCGTTCTGTAAGGTATGTTTCGTGTTGTTTTTTTGTTGGTTTCTTTCTATGCATCTTTCTTCTTTTGGTGTTATAACCCATGGATTTTTCCAACCATATTAGATTGGATTATTCATTTTTCGTCTAACTTGTGATATAAATATCTGTTATCTGTGTATGAAGGGAGAGTGATTTAACTTACGAATGAACATCTATACACAACACCCTTATACCGGACCTTACAATGATAATCGTAAAAAATATTGTCGATGTGCAAGAAGAATTTCTCAATGCGACTATGATACAGATTAACTTCTTTGTACTTTCTAAACATAGAGCAGCCAGTTAGATAGCAAAAAAAATAATGCATTTTGAGCGGTCAAATTTATAGTCCATGGACTAAAATTGATGATCTTTTTAAAAATAAAACTATGTCCCAACGGCACAGTTTGTGAAACTGCGCTTAATGAACCTCAACCAGACTGTTACAAATAACTGGAAGCAAGCAGAAGGACTTTTTTGTTACTATTCGGAAAATTTTTGAAATCTCTTATAAGATAATATACGTGAAATTGACACTTTTTTAAAGTGTCCTTAACGAAGAAAATCATCAAATGGAATCTGAGGAATGCAGGATGTAGGTGAATATATAATATGTATGATACCTACATCCACTCTCAAGATTGGCTTCCTTAAATAACTTTTAAAAACTGGTACGGCGGTATCCAACCATACTTCATTTTCTGATCGTTTCACTACATAAGCAAGAAAATTGGAAAAGTTTTCATAGTGAAATTCACAATGTACTTGATAATTTTGATCGTTTATTTTCATGTAATATGAAATCGAATAGTTTTACATAACATTGCAAAGTTTAAAAGAAAAGAAAGGAGATTGCGTAGTTTGGACAATTGCTGAAGTTTACGGAACATACTGTTTGATTTCGTAAAGCAAAATGAGATAATCTGCAATTGGCAGCAATGCATGATGTCTTTCCTTCAATTCGAACTTCAATGATTGGTACATCGATTCATGATTGGTGAGACACATTTCATCGAGTTGTAGAAGATGATGTCCATTCAGACGTGTACATAGAGGAAGGATAGTATTGCCCAATCCCATTTGCAAAAGAAAAGATTTGACATAATCATGAGTTCATTGAGTGATACAATTAGGTAAATCACGACAAAATCAAGATGTATAACATGAAACGGTAGAACAAGGAAATCTGTGACAGATTTATTGATATTGGCAACGTGGTCACAATAATGACCGTTCTACGAAAATTTTAGTTCCGAAATACTTACATGTCGTGTTTCCGCCTTGCTCTAATTCATTTTATTACAAACAGAAAAGAATTGTTTCCAGGCAAACGATGAGACTAGATTTTTCATCTGTGTAATAACAACAAGTTTCTATCGATATTAGTCAAGAATACCATATTGGTGATAGAGCAAAAAATCAAGGACAATAGAGCCAGTTCGTTCAACAGACAAACCATTTATACACTTTGACTCTTGTGACACAAACAAGATCGATTATACCTCGAACAGTTCCTTAGATTTTCTAGAATTCAGAAAGGAAGAGGGACGGTAAGGGGCAAAATCGATCCCTAATCAGAGCTTTATTTTATCGTCTCCATTTTATTCTCTCAACTGCCAGAGTCTTATTTTCGTCAAAAATACACTATTTAGCGCATTCCATATGGTACACAGTTCAAATTACCTATCCCTGTTTCGCAAGGGTGTGGGTGTCATTTTTCTCTTTAATGACACCCACACCTTCAAGTTACTCATTAAAGGTGACAGACAAGATACGAATTCTCTTTCCGAATTCATCATAAAATTTATGACAAATAGCCAAAATAGTTTTTACATGAAAATAAATGATAAAAATATCCCAATAGAGAAGCCTATCATTTCAGGTCTTGTAAACATTGAAGCTGACGTTGAACGGATTGTTTGATTATTTCCAGTGCCTCATGATTTCGCCATAGATCTTCGTCTATATTTAGTGTGTCTATCGAATTTATGATCATTTTGGCTATTTCTGGCTCAGATGAATTATTAGTTGGATCTTTGATATTATTTGGAAAATATTTGACTAAAATGTAGCGAGCAGAATCTAGCCATTTTCGGTAAGCTGAGCGTATATTTGTCGAAGTGATCTTTCCAATAATACAGCCGGTAGCACATACAATAGCTAGCAATATGCCGATAGTAACACCTGGAATGTTCTCGTATTCGGATGGTAGAGGAGAACCTGAACGATAGTGGATGATTGTTATGCCGATTGCGATTCCGGCCAATACGGATGACACAACAGTACCAGTAATGAAAGTTGCATATTTTGTTTCCATCTCTGGATTATTTCGTGACAATATTCGTAATACTTCAACTAATGGGCCAGCAAAGTTTTCACACTGACGTGTGACATTGTCTAATGTCCATGACCATGCTTGATGAATTTGTTTAAGTTGTTGTTCATCTGAAGTTTGCAAGGCTTGATCAATTAAGTTCAAGGATTCACGTAGAAATTCAATTTTTAATCGTGCGTGTTCATTTTCAACTCGTTGACAAATTGCCTCACAATTCTTGCGATCATCTTCAGTAAGATTGGATGTTTCATCAATATCTTTTCGAATTTGAGCCAACAAATCACGTGCTTGATTTGTGACAAGTTGAACGAGTTCCTCATTTGCTGCTGCCATTTTTCAATCTGAAATACAACTTTTGTTATAAAGGAATCTATTTTATGAAGTAGTAACTTCAGATAGTGAAAATAGATGTAGTTCTGGTATAATTTTGAAAGAATGAGAGTGTTGGTATGTTTTTAGTGATCCGATCTGGAAGGTGGGAAAATTCCCAGAGGAATTTTGTTTTATATGCTTTTATTGTATGAGAAAGAGAACACATGACAATACCCAAGACGAGCATGATGACTCATTGTTTGTTCTTCCTTTTGGAAGAT